CTTCCTTTTTCAGAAGAAGCCTTTGGAATAACAATAAACCCTCAATATTTGATGTAAAGCTTTCCCTCTGTTAGAATGCTCCCAGAGAAAACACGTATTTAACAGTACAGCGAGGCGGCAAATACTGGTTTATCCCCTTCAAACCTTAGGAGGCGCAGGCCCAGAGTCCGCTGTAGCTCCCTAAAACGCCGGTGAGAGAGCTGAGGTGAGCGCGCCGCAGCCCAGCACGGGCGAGACCCGGACCGCCCCCGAGCGCCTTTTGAAAGTAACGAAACTTTCCAAACCTTCCAGCAGGCTAGTTCTAGCGGCGCTGATTGGCGGAGCACCCCGCAGCACGTGACCGGCAGCCAATGGGGTGGCTGCGTCGGTCAGTCTGTGGAGAGCGGCGGCTGCTGGTGCGGGGTGCTTTACTGTGGTGAGTTTGGGGGGAGAGCGGAGGTTCTGCTCGCTGCCCGGTACGGTGATGGGGAGGTGGGAGGCAGCTTCCTGGCGGAGCTCTTGTGCCGCGGGTAGAGGAGGGAAGGGCGGTTTTGGTGCGGCGCAGCCCCTCCTAGTATTCTTCGTTCTGCTGTGGTGGTCGGGGAGGCAAGGGGTAATGGAGCCGGGACCTGCCTCTCTGCGGCCCCTGCTCCTTCCTGCACCCTTCCCTGCGAGCGTGAATCTCCTTTTGGAGTTGTGCTTTCGGCTGCTGGCGGGGAGGGGAGGGGAGGAGAGGAGGAGAAGGGAGCGTGGGAGCCGTGGCCGATGGCTCAGATCCTTCTCCGCCTTCGTGCTTCGAATGGGAATGGGCTGACCTCGGCTGGCTGCTGGAAGCATCAAGGTTAGGCGATTCAGGAGAAAAAACGTTACAGAGGTTCCTGGGGAATCACTGGAAACTCGAAGTACTGGATCTGGCTTGATATCTGAAAAGATGAGGGCTTTGCCGAATTATGCCTTTCCGTAGAGAAGACCCTGAGAAGTTGGTAACTCTTTTCAGTGCTAGCTGTGGGATTCTGCAGTAATCCTGGCACTCCGGTGACCTCTTCCTTTTTTTTTTTCCTCACTTGCTGTGATTTTCTTTTGTATTGCTTAAACAAAAGAAAATAGGTCCTTATTGTTACAGGAAGACCTTTGCAACGGGACTATTGTAAGAAAATATTGTTTTTATAGGATGGGAAGGCTACTTTTCAGGAGCAAAAAGGGGGTGTGTTTTGGTTTACAGGTAGGAAAAAATGGGTAATAGGATCTTCATCATCTCTGTCATGGATAATTCAGTAGCATGTACAGAACTGTTTTTTTTTTTTCCTGTTATAATATGTATTTTTTTGATTCAGACCATGTGGCATTGCTACAGAAACAGGCAAACATTGTTCACCAAGCTAAAGTGTTCGTTTGTTAAAAAAACCGTTTAGGATGTAGGGTTGTCTTGAGTCCTTGAACCTGCTATGACTGAAACAGACTTTTAAGTTGCGATCCTCATAAATTTGGTGAACTCAAGGTCTAATTCCCCAAATTGAATTAGGAGTAATTTTGTGTATGGTTTTCTTGATGTTTTGGGTTTTTTTTTTTTTTTTCTTCTTAAGAATTTTGCAGTTCTATTCTCACTTGTATGGAATTGCTTCCTGCAGCATTTATGATGAGGTGTTTTTCTCCTTGTAAAAATTCATTCCCCACCCATAAACACTTCCACTTCCTGTATGATGTAGAGGTTTTGTAATCTCTGTGACCGGCACTTGTGCTGTTTGCATTCAGGAAGCCTGACCAGTTGTCTCTTCTGGCTTTGTGTGCTTGAAAACAAGTAAGGTGCAACCAGTGTATGCCTCTTTACAAGCTGTGACTTTCCTTGGTTTTCCTAAATTTGCCAGTGTTTAACAAAACAACGCTACAACCTCTTTCATCCCCCTTGCCCTCCCTCCTTTTATAGTGAACCTCCACAGTAGTTGCTAAGTGGTTTAATTACTCTCCAGGTATTTTGCATGCTGTCCCCAAGCTGTTAAAAATTAAGGGGAGAAGGCAGCAGGGGGAAAAACAAAGTCAAAAAAGCTCTACCCTTTCTATAGGCAGTTTAGAAAGATTTGAGTGGTGGTTTGGGATTTTTGAAACAAATTCAGGAATAGAAAAAAAAAGTTTTAATACTGTGCCTAAAATGTGTCATTTTTCTTTTCAATTTAAGTTTGTATCCTGTACCTTTGGTTAGTTTGAAAATCCCTGTGTTCTAAGATGTAGTGCAGGTGTACAGGGAACCTACCAATCTTCCTTATGCGTTACAGATAAAAAATGTGTGCCTGTGGCATTGTACAGTAGTGAAATCATCTCTGCCATGTTGTGTCTTCTATGTACAATAAGTATAGGTCCACAAATACTTCCATGTCTGCAGTTTAACTATTTTAAATCGTAAGTGCTATTTAGTAATGGTAACCATTAAACAGATTAGTCTTAATGGCAAACATTCTCAGTAGGTCCATAATCTCATGTTTACAAAGACAGAAATGGAAGGGCACAGCATCTTTGTGCTTCTGTGAAAGTTATCAAGGCTCTGTAGAACTCTTACAAATCTTGCAGCTCGTTTGGGGAAAGTTGTTTTTCATGTGACTGTGTTTAAAAAAATGTAAATTAATACATTCTTTTAGTCATTCCAAAGTGCAGTGTAAAAACACAAGTGAGAGCCAGACAGAAACATGTTCAAGATCTTGAGGCCAGCAGGAGCTGTGCCTTTTCACTCTAAAGGGTTGTTGGAAAGCTTGCAAGAGCAAGATGTCTTGCAGTGTTTTGTCTGACTTTTTTTGTGACTGTCAGAACATGGATCTGGGATTTATTCTAATACTTGTGTCGGAATAATTCCTCATTGGACACTGCTGAAATATATTGTAAATTATGTTACAAAGCTAGGCATCCTCTGTGTGGAATTTCTGTTCTTGAAGAAATATAGAAACTTCCCATTGTGTGAGTGGTGAGAAAAGGAAGCTCTGCCTTGCTGTTCTCTGGAATTGTTTACTACAGGAATGGATGCTGATCCTTGGTTTCTCATTGCATCACTGCATCACTTTGTGTCTGACCCTTTGTCCCTATCCCTAATCTGTAAAAGAGAATTATTTTTTTTAATTCATGAGTGTGCTACAAGGATTTTATGTGTGTACACAGTGTCCTGAGCATAAGGACATGCTCATTAACATCAAAGACACTTTCAGTTCTCTTAAAAATAATAGAATAGAAGTGTTGTAAACTGTCTTAGGTCAAGAATGTTAATTATGCTTGGTCATGATTTTTTTGTTAATGGGCAAGGATATTATTTGGAAAAATTACTTCTCCTTACTTGCACTCCTTTTCCTCTTTTTTTTTTTTTTTTGCCAGTGGATACTGTAGTATGTAAACACATACAAAGAGCAGCAGCCTTGGGACTTCTTGCTGGAAGTGTATGAATACGTAACATGTGGGGGGTATTTGTTAAGAGGGAGACATGTGGCTTTGTCTAATTAACAATTTGTGTCAAGAAGTTGAACTATAAAAACTAAAGTTTAGTAACTGTTTCCCTCACCAGTTCCCCTACTAAATAATAGTGTAATTTCTGTGAGAGTGTAGTTGATACTGAGCATTGAGCTGTGTGGACACAGCCCACTTAGCTGTAACAGCTGCTTACTCTTGGCTCAGTAGACTTACGAAAATCACCTAGGCTATGAAAAGGACTCATGCTTTGCAGCATTGCTTGGTGTGTAAGAGCTGGGCTTTAGATTGCCAGACCACTTTGAGTACTTGATCCTGTTGTCAGTTGTAGAGGTAGGAAGTACTTACGTTTATCTCGATAGAGTTGTTAGGTAGATGGTTGTTAATTGTGCTTAAACCAGGTGATTCCCTGGAGAGAAAACCCTCAAGGCAGGTTGTGATTAATTTTTTCAATCAAGTTCAGAGTGCAGTAGATGCACATTCTCTTTACCTTTGACATGCTGCTCAGAAGGTCTACTCCAGCATCTCCCGAGTATCATGAGCAGAAGGTGGGACTGTCATCTATATGGTCTTCAAAGACTTTGGCTATTTTTCTGCCCTCTTTATTCCATGAGGGTTACCTCTAGGAAATGTTTTGCTCGGTAGTTCTGGAGATGAAACTTGGTAGAACAGCTCTGTTTCCTCAGTCACTAGATTTCAGCTATACAATTTTCTGACAGCTGCTCTGGTCACAAATTGCTTGATTCCACCTTTATTTACTCTTGATCTAGCTGAGTTTCTATTAAATTGGTAATATTTATATGGAATCTTTGCCTCAGCCTGGGTTGGACATGGGCAGGTTATCCAGAGCATTATGTTTGATGTTTCTCCATTGTAAAAACAAACTCATAAAATGATGCTTGCTAATGACCTGTTTATTCAAGTGCATCCTGTACATCAGAGAGAATTTGCTTCATTCCGGTGTCTAGATACTTGAGACTTCAAGCACAAGTGACCAACTTAAGGTTCTTGACTCCCCTGTCGCTCTTTAATTTTTTGTTCGCATTTGGGACTATGTCCCATGACTGGGTTTATGCTGGCACAGGGACAGCTGGATGGTCTGGATTGCTTGCTAGGTTGCTGATATCTATCTGCATACCTACTCCATCCAGGTGGTATCCTGCTAAAACCTCTGTAGAGCTTCTACTCTCATTTCCCTGTGAATTTCCAAAGCTACCTTCTCCCATGGCTCTCTGAGGTATCACAGTATATGGTGTCTCTCTGACATATATACATTGTGATATTTCAGGCTTTTAAGTTGGGTAGGTTTCCTGTGTTGACCTAGGGTGAAGTTTTCCATGTGTCCAGCAGTTATGTCCATAAAAAGTTTAGATGTTCCTAGAAACGCTAACACAGGAAATTAGTATCTTGAGCACCTTATCTGTGTCTGAAGTTTCTTTTTGATTTCGTAAGTGTCTTTAGGGTTGCTGAAATCGACCTTAGTTGCACCGTCTTTGGAGCTGAAGTTTTGCCTGAGGTGTCTTCTGTTTCACTTGCGTTCTGTGTGTGTGGGTGCGACTGTGCCGAAGTTTGACGTTTGGTGCTCAATACTATGTAGTCAGAGGGTGGGGAAGGTGCTCATTGCTGGGGATGTGATGTAAGCATGCAGCAGCCTTGTGAGAACCAGGGAAAATGACCTGATTACTCAGAAATAAAATATTCTTTAACATTTATGGTGTATCTGACAGAGCCCTGTAAAGGCTGGTCTTTAGCTTGGTCTCCCCAGGTGTGCAGTGACCTCCTGGGAGGAGGGGTGCGCTGCTCTGCAGCAGAAAATACTGAGGTAACTCAGTGCATTAGTTCTTACACTTGTTCCTTTAATTTTCCAGGGGCTGAAAAATGAAACAGGAGTTTTAAACTTTGAGGACTCATAATGGAAGTCTCAGAAGGACATAACTTCAACTCAGTGGAAGAGGAAACCAGATACTGGAAAGAGTTGGCTATGAAATACAAGCAGTGGTAAGGCAGTGGCTTCATTCCTCTAAGGTGTCTGATAGGGTGCTTAACTCAGCATGCAAAGACAGAGATAGCACCTCATAGGGGAATATATTCAAGGTGGATCAGCTGTCTTGACTGGTAGCAGTAGCAATGCTTCTGCATAAACATCAACAGCCCAGAGTCCTTTATGCTTATTTGAGCAGTGACTCTGTGCTGTATGGCACTACTGGTTTTGATCCCTGCTCTGGTTTAAGTTAGGACTGTGTACTGAAATTGTGCCTCTGACTGCAGTCTCTGGGCAGCTGGGGTGAATGTAACTCACTGCAGAGGCTCATTGGGAGTGGGTGATCTGGGCCATTGCAGAAGGAGAGATGCTTGATTGACCTCTGTGTGGATCAAGAATGGTTTGACAGCATGTAAATGGAGGAGGATCCCTGGCTGAGACTGGGCATATTTTGCTGTTCCCTTTAGCTCATATTGCTCTAAATGCAGTAAAGGGTGAAAAAGATACAAACTTTTTAGGTACTGATCTTGGGTCCTTTCTTAGACCAGGTGTTCAGACCTTTCAGTGCTGCTGGTTTGGCTTGCTGGAGGATTATTTCAATAGAACATAAGAACATCTTTCCATCCTTCTCTTTTCTCACTTTTTATTGCTAATAAAAAATGGCTTTGTTCATATTCTCAAATAAATAATTGAATAACATATTAAATACACAGACAACAGTGGATAATGTACATGCTAAAGAGACTTCAAATGTCTTCAGCACCTACAGTGTTTAAACAGACTTTGGGATTTTTCAATTTTTGGGGTTTTTTTGTTTGTTGTGGTTTTGTTTTGTGGTTTTTTTTTTTATTTACCAGTTCACTGTGGGGTGGCTTTCCATGCTTGATGGGAAAACATTTGCCTATGCTCTTCTCTTCCTTTGAATATGTGTTCGAGAAGGGCATAGAGCCTTCTATGTTAAAGGCCATTTTTTTTTTTTTTTTCACCTTGAGTGTACAAGAGACTTTTTCCTGCTCATTATGATGAGTTCTCTTGCTGGAATTGCTCTCTAGTGCTGAGAATACACAGGAGGAATTGCGTGAATTCCAAGAAGGGAGTCGAGAGTATGAAGCTGAACTGGAGACCCAGCTGCAGCAAACAGAATCCAGAAATAGAGACCTTCTGTCAGAAAACAATCGTCTGCGAATGGAACTGGAGTCAGTTAAGGTAAGAGTGGATGATTCATACACTATCTGTACACCCAAAGTGCAAAGGTGAATTAGACAGGCATGTGCAGATTCAGCTTGCCTTATCTGTTGTCTGCTTTAAGGATCCTGGATATCTCTGTAATGTTCCTGAATTGTTGTTGTCAGGTTGTGGTTATTTGTCAGGATATATTTTAGACGGGAGAAAGTTGTTTGAAGTAGAGTGGAGAGCAAGCATGAGCATATCTGAGCTGCTGTTCTATTCCTTCTTCCATTTACTTAGTGATTTTTGTTCATAGCTTTCTTGCTGTTTGCATTGTGCAGACACAGGTAATATTGCAGAACAATCAAGATACAAACATTGCAGCTGTGTTCTTGCATTACGTAAGACAAGTGATTTGTTTTAAACCCTTTTGACATAGATGTGTATTTATTAATTGGCATTCCAGATAAGCTGGGAAGCAGCAGCTGGTGTGTAATGCATAGGACTGAGAGGTATAAAATAGTTTCAGTTCTGGTTTTATTACTGTGTCTGTTTATACTTGGGGAAGAATAATGTATCCTTTTTACACTTGGTTAGCCTTCTGGAGAACTAAGAACCAGCTGAAAAGCATTAACTTCCATAATTATAAAAGCATAAGGGATATGAACTTACTGAGATGAAGCTTCTTAACTGAGTGACTTAGGCGATCATGAAGCTATCTAGAGTATGAAGAGTGATGAGTCTGCCTCACTTTGGTCTCATTAAAGATGCTGCTAGTCCCTTGTGCTGGTTGGCAGTTTTAGGAAATACTGGTAATTTCAAGAAAACTTGAAAATGAGTTGGCACTGAAATTGGTGTGTGCCCTTTTTAAAGTTTGATCTTGTTGGTCTTTTACTTAAGGGTGTGGTATAGTCTCCCAGGAAACACTATGCTGTATTTTGTAGGGCTAGGTCAATATATGTGGAAGCAGAGATTAATGTAATTGTAGTTCTACTCAACTGGATGCAATAATGAGCTAATGGGAGTGAAGGTATTTGTAGAAGTGATTAATCACTTCAATGATTCATCACTGGATTAATCCAGGTTTGCAATGCCTTCTGTCTAAATTGCTGTCCAAATTACTGTCTTAAGAAAATAACATTCGTTCCCAGCAGATGTCTTGTCCCTCTGGCACCAGTGTAGTGATTCCTGCCCTCTGCTCTTTGATAGCAAAAGCTCCAAGGCTTGTTTCATCGTGTATGTGTTGCACTGATCTTTATTGGTCTTGAATTAGCTTGTTAGTGGTATTAAATGCTCTGCATGTTGTATGGAGTATTGGAGTATTGTATGGAGTACTTACTGTTCCATGTAGCCACATAAATCCATGTAAGATGGTGGGTTTGGGGTTGAAGGCATAGGTTTGATAAAAAATAAAATCCACAGTGCATTTGAGGAGGGTGTGGACTGTTTTCTTGCTCCAGAGGAGTTAGGATGAGGGGAAGGGATAATGAAGCAGCTGAAGCAGTTAAGAATGAAAATAGTAGGAAACATCATTAACCTTCAAAAAGTGCAGGGTAAATATATATTAGAAATTCTTAAAATATCCTTCAGAGTAGATTACTTTAAAACATTCTGCTTGAAAGGAACTTCTTTAACAATTGGCCATTCATGCAGCCTGAAAACTGCAGTAACAGCCTGCAGTGAAGGAACAGAGACACCATTGATGGCCAGATCAGCTGATAATTTACAATTGGCTAAAAACAAAGACTCAAAACTTGCAGTTCTGGTCTTTTATCTGAATCAATTTGAGAGCAAAGAATTAAACTCGTAAAGCTATTGAGCAGCTGTGTTAACTGAGCCCATCAAGGGTTGGTGTCTGCATCTAGGTCAATGTTAGTGAACTTTGCCAGGCCCACACAGCTTGTGGCTTTGAGCTTCCAGCCTAGTGTGTGTACCTGCTTCCTCCTTGGAAACCGGAGTTCACACCTAAAAATAAATGGAAATAATGCTTTGGAGGGTTTGTTTAGAGAGTCCTGAAAACCTACTGAAAGTTATCTGCCTCTTAGAGCTTGGAGGTTCTTCTGCATGTAACTATGCTTCAGAGGTCTGGAATTATAGTGATGTCACCATGCTGTAATCAAATTAGAGTGTCTTAATTTGAAATTAAGAATTCCTGCCTCTTCTCTGTTGATGTATTTTAGTGTGCTAAAATACATAGTGTTTTCAAATTGTCAGTCATGCTGGACTACATGCCATGGTTTTCAAATTCCAGTGCATGGATTTGTTTTAAATGTCTTCAGCTGTTTTGTACTTAAATTCTGGATGGTGAAACTGCCTCTGTAATGCTTGGAGTTTAAAAAAATGTCTGGCTTGTTGAAGGGTTCTTACAGCAAGGTGGTGGAATGTAAAATGTTGCAGTAGACTGCGTGCTGTGAAGCTTTCCTTCTCATGTGATGTGGAGCTAATTCCATATACAGCAGCAGTATCAGGAGAGAGATATTTAATGGAGAAGCTTAAGCATTCCTCCCTGCCTTTGTCTGTTGTAAATGTGCTCTTGTGTAGATGCTGTAAAGGAAGACAGTTTGATTTTAGGGTTACATCCAAAGCATGTTGCATAACTGTACTTGAAATGTTTTGTGCCCTAGAACACCATAGGCTAATAAAACCAGAGGGGCAGTGGAGAGTCCTGCTGGTTCAGAGCAGTATGTAACAGTGTTACACTTGGTTTTGTTTGTTTTTTTTTTTTTCTTAGGCTCTGAAGTACAGCTTGATTTTACTAGAATTGAAAAGGAGGGGCTTCTCTTGCATCCTGCTTTGTGTGTTGCTAAAGCTTGTGGGGCTCAGAAATTATGCTGAGTCTTGTTGTCTGGGAGTGCAAAGAACAGTCCTGTATTGTGGAGGTCAGGAACTGCTCCCCAGTACCGTTGTTAAGAGGCGACGGGAAGAGCACTTGTCTACTGACAGCCCAGAACTATGTAAACAATTGGTTTTGTTGGCATTTTGCCATATATAAGATGATGCTTCACAAAAAAAAGCAGCATCAGCTTCTGCCTTTAAAGGGGCTCAGGCAGTGCTACAGAACGAGCACGTGCATTGCTAATCCTCTTTGATTTGCCTTTGATTAGGAAAAGATTGAAATTCAGCATTCAGAAGGATACAGGCAAATCTCTGCACTGCAAGATGACTTGGCACAGACAAAAGCTATTAAAGATCAACTTCAGAAATACATTCGAGAACTTGAGCAAGCAAATGATGACTTGGAAAGAGCAAAAAGGTGACTTGACTTCTGTGTTTTCTTTTCCCACGTTTGTTCTGTCCTGTGATAATGGTGACACTGAGCTGTTTGTAATGCCGTGCTCTGCCATTCTGAGCTCATCACTTAAGTGATGATTGTGGTAAAGAGGATTGTGTCAGATGGCACTCCCTTCACTGCACACTTTTATATCTTACAAGCTAAAATAAAAATAATATTAAAAGCAAAAAAACTAAAATGCCATGTTATCCCCTTTGTTGAGAGAGGAAGTTCTTCTGTGTGTTAGAAGGATCTGGTAGTGACATCTTACACATTCTTTTTTCAGAGCCACTATAATGTCTCTAGAGGATTTTGAACAGCGTTTAAACCAGGCTATTGAAAGAAACGCTTTTCTGGAGAGTGAGCTGGATGAGAAGGAAAACCTCCTAGAGTCCGTCCAGCGCCTGAAAGATGAAGCTAGAGGTCAGACAGAAATTGCTTGTGTGCCTTTCTCCCCTCCTGGCTTGTATACCAGTCCTTAAGTTCTCTTTCTGTGTCTTAGAGCTTGGCTTTTAAGGTTGCATCTTGTAAAGCTACTTCAAACGTAGAAACAAATGAGAGCTTCAAGACTGCCCCCCCCCCTTCCCTCCTTCAGCTTCTGTGACCTTGTTTCAGAGCAGCTCACAGAAGCAAAAGTCTGTTCCAGCCTTCTCCTAATCTGTGGTGATGCTTCAGGGCTGTGGGGGGGTTAAGAAGAGCCAGTACATCTGGGGCATGTGCTAGTCTGGCTTCCTGTAACCTATGAAGGTCAGCTTTAATAACCATTAACCTCATTGTTTCCTGGCCTGTGAAAAGTGGAATTAATGAAACACTAATGGGGCAGTAAAACAGGAGGGCTGTGACTGACTTCTAGTTACCTCTGAATAACCCCATATCCTAGCTGCCTGATGCTGATGACTAAGGCTGGCTGAGAAGAGAGACCATGGAGCTGGAAAACCATTTTCTGGTTTCAGATCTTTTCGGATTCTGTGCCCTTGAGTGGCTTCTGTAAACTATGGCCAGGCTTAGGGACAGAAGCAATAATGGTGTGGTTTCCATCTGCCTTCAGCTCAGATTTCCTTCATGCGGAAACCAGGGTAGAAGAGAAAAGGACACAATAGGTAGGATCTCAACCTGGCAGGGAGCTGGAATGTAGCCAAGGTGTGCCAGGTTGTCTAGCCTTGGTCTTGGTGTGCCTTTGCTTACCACCCTGTAATGTTTGGAAAGGAGTTAATTCCCTGCCTCAGAGGGATACTACAAAAACATCTTGAGTCACAATCTGAGAAAATCCTTTAGTGATCATCTGGGTTTTGAACATATGCCTAGAGTAATCTTTACAGGGAAAAGTGATTTCACTTCCACAAGGGGGATAATCTTTTGAGCAAAACATTCTTACCTATTTTTATCTTGGTTGATACATACTCCAAAAGCTTGCTTTGTATTGCTTCCTTGTTAGATCTACGTCAAGAGCTTGCAGTGCAGCAGAAACAGGAGAAACCCAAAACACCGATGCAAACTACCCTGGAAACAGAAAGAACAGACACTGCAGTTCAAGCGTCCTTATCTGTGCCTTCAACTCCTTCAGTGCACCGGGCACCCAGCATCAACATACCCACCCCTATGACATATAGGAGAGGTGACTGACAGGGAATCAGCACACAATTACTATTTGCTTCTCTTGTTTTTACTATAGTTTCTGGCTAAAGGAGGAATGAGAAGAAGGAGGAATGAGCAGAGTTGAGTGTTTCAGTAAAATACACCTCAGTGCTGTCACCACAGTCTTATTTTCATAGACTGTGATTTTTTGGGGGTTATTCATAAGCTGTTCGTTTCCACTTGACTTCAACTGTCTAGTAGTAATAATTGTGAAGGACAGCAGGACCTGTTGGGAGTTAACTATTAGTTCCCAACTGTTCCAGAGATGCTGGGCCAAAGATTTAAAAGATTTAAAAAACTTGAGTGTGATCTTCAGCATCATGTTCATGTTACTTGAACTGGCTTCTCTGTGAGAGCAGATGCTGTCTTGGGAAAGGGTTTTTGGTTTTTTTTACTCTGGACCAGCAGGACACTGACAAGTCATCCTAGTTGTCTGTACTCTGGTTTCATGTCACTATCAGTTGCTTATTTTTTTGTAAGCACTGATTGTTTCAGTGTTTCAAAGCTGTAACACTAACTCTCCCATCTTTTTACATAAGCAGCTGGAAATTTGTGTAACACTGTTCATGTCTATAGGGGGTTGCACTGTTGCATTCTGATGGTCTGATGATACAGCTTTGAGCACTAACAAAGGTTAATTGTGGGCTTCAGTATGCTTGACCTAAAATTGTGGTTTGTGTGGAGGAGTTAATGCTTCTGTAAAAGTGAGAGGATTTGGATATTTGTAGTAACATGAGAGATGATGTTCCTCTCTGAGGACACATTTCTCTGGTCCCACTGCAGCAGCAGAGGTGCAGAGTAGGCTGGTAGAACAGATCTCTAGAAACCTAAGCCACAGCATGTCTAGAGACTTTAGCTTAGGACAGTGTAACTTGAGCTGTCTCAGAGGGACAGTGCTTCATATTCTTAATGGATATGAAATATCTAGAGGTGAGATACAAAAGGAGAAGATAATTGTTTTCTCTGCTGTGTATGACAGGTGTCTTCTGACTTCCAGTGTCAAAGGTTTGGGGTTTTTGTTTTGTTTTGGGTTGGGTTTTTTTTTTTTCATTTTTTTATTCTTGTTTTTCTTTTGTTTTTGTGTGTGTGTGTTTGTTTGTTTTAATCCTCCTCTAACCTACCCTGCAGGTCTTGAGGACAGTTTTGGTGCAACCCCTCTCACACCTGCTGCAAGAATATCTGCACTTAACATTGTGGGGGACTTGCTACGAAAAGTGGGGGTGAGTGTTTGCCTGCTAACCAGTGCTCTTGGAAAGGAAGAGCTGTCTGAAACTGTAGCCAGTACTATCTGTGCTGCTGCTCAGGGGAGACTGGAAAGAGTATCTTGTCCCAAGGTTAGCTAAGCCTGGCCTTGAAATTTGGCTTGGACTTGGTATGCTTCTGAACAATCCCCAAACAAAGGTGGACCCTGCTCTGTTTTTCTGAAGTCTTATCCCCATGTGGGTAAGATCTTCCTGTACAGATTTCTGAAAGCTCATGTGCTGAAAGAATAAAATGGCATGAACAAGTAAGTAGAAGGGATTCCTTCCCATAAAAAGTAGAAAAGAAAGTAGGAGGGTGCCTGCTGTCCAGAGGGCTTCTGATGTTTTCCTTAAAAGTCTAGTAGCCTTTTGAGCAAGGCCTAATGTCTTGTTAAGCTGTTGTTTGACATTTAAGCTAGTGCTGATGCTGGAGAAAATATCCTTTGCCTTCCTTGTGTTTGATCCCTTATGCCCCAGTGCTATCTTGGCACAAGCATTTGTATGACTTTTTGATGGGCTAAGATGCACAACTGGTACATCTGAAGAGTAACTCAGCAACAAGGCTGGAGTTTTCTAGGGTGGGAGCATGTCATGCAGAATAGCTTATCTGTGGCTCAGTTCCCTCTGGTGTACCACCTATTATGTACAGCCTAATGTATCTAGGAAAGGAGATAGCTCAAACATTTAGTAATTTCAAAGTGATGCCTCTAAGAAAGATGTCAAAATCTCCCTGAGGAAGCTGAATACTTTGTGTTCCTGCTGGTGAGTAGCATCAACTCCTTAACCTCCCCTACAGAAAGATTCAGATTTAGAGAGATGACTGGTTTCATCTCTTCAAAAATTCAGCCCTCATGTAGCACTGGAGTCTAGTAAGTTCCTCTACTAGACGACTCATTCTAAAAGAAACAAATGAAACCAAACCCACAGAAACCCCAAACACTCTTAATGTGATTTTTTTCTGTGCCACGATGTCATGGGAAAGAGAACGTGATATCCGACGCTTGACTCAGCTGTGTTTACACTAGGCTTTGGAGTCCAAACTTGCATCTTGCCGAAACTTTGTGTATGACCAGTCTCCAAACAGAACCACAGTGTCCATGTACATGAACAGAGATGTCCTTGAAACACGCTTGAGTCCTCATCAGCCTCAGTGTGATACAGGGTGAGTGCTGTTTTCTGCTGTTGTGTCTTACTGAGAAGTGTTGCTGTTAAAACTTAGTGACTGGTACTATTTTAATTTGCATTGAATCTTTGTTATGGTAGGGACAGATTTGTTTTCAACATACATGAAACTTAGTTATTCAGGATTATGATCTGAGTGTTTCAGATCAGCATTGAATTTGGAATCACTAGCTGCTGAAATTTGAAGACTAGTTGGAATCAAGTTTTGGAAACAAAATTCCAAAACCAAAAAATTTGGCAACCAAAAATGTATCAGAGCAAATGTGATACATGTATTTTATTATAAACCCATTAATAAGTGGAATGAATTACAATGGAGGAGCTCTTGCTTATTGGCTTAATTTGTTTTATGCTTTATATTCTTGTACAAGTGATAGTGTAGGAACATCATGGCATGTAGGGACTTCCCTTATCACAGTTAGGATTCTCATTTATGGGAGAACTGGTAAACAAGGCAAATAATGGATTCATTCAGTCAGAATACTTTACTGTTGCTAAGATGCGTTTCAAGGAGCACCTGACAGGAACTTATCTGACTCAACTTTCATATTTGTGTGAACACTTGAACTGGTTGGGTTGTTATGTGCTTGTGGTTGGGGTTTTTTTTTTGCCCCCCCCCCCCTTTTTTTTAAAACCCATTGAAGAAGCATCAGCAAAGGTATTGCAAGTTGCAGTTCAGTGCCTGCTTAAACCCTGCTAGTCCTGTAGCTCACATTCCTTACATTCTCTGTAAATTAAGTGTTTATACTACAGGTTGTTCCAGACTTAACTATTCAGCTAAGACCCTTGCACTGGGAATACTGGTTTGTCCTGTCACCAGTACCCAAAGTTGCTGTATGGAAGGGGTGTTTCACATTGTGCTTGCTATCCCAGCCTGGGGACAAACCTCATGAAATCTCTTATAAGAAAGCCTCAAGTGTTGTACTTTACGTGTTCTTGCAGCTGATTATACACCTACCACTGTAATGCTAGAACTGAAGTTCCAACACCTGTAAAAGATAACTTCTCACTACTTGGAGGGAACTGGAGCCTTCTGTTAGAGAGGAAACTCAGCGTAGTTAAGTAATGAGCCCAGTCCTCAGAGTGGTATTAGTTCATCTGTTCATTTCTCAAGCTGAGTAGGTTACTCTGGAAGTGACCAGAGTACCTTCAGATGGTGACACTGAGCAAGAAATGCACTGGCTTCTCTTTTCTATTTGCAGGTTAGTGAAACGCCTGGAGTTTGGAACACGGCCTCTGAATATGCCAGGAACAATGAGCCATCCTTCACCAAGTGTTGTCAAGATGCTTCTGTGAAAAGGCTGTCTGACTGTGGAAAAGGATTAAAAATAATACATATTTTAAACTTTACTTTTAAAAGAGAATATCAATGAGCAACTGTGCAGCAGTTTTGGTGTAGAGGAGAACTGAAGAAGAAGCTGCAATTGGCAGTGGCTTCCTGTGGCCTTGCCCAGTCTGACCTTGGCTGAGCTCTGTGGGTGTTGTGATAAAGCAATGATACTTAGCAGTGCAGGACTTAGAATTGCTTCCTACATAAGTCGCTGTAAATAGCTCCATGAAAACTTCTTCTTTTGACGCTACCAGTCAAAGCCATTGTCACTCTACCTAAAACAGGGACAGTATTCCCTGTGCAGCTCTTCAGGCTTTGGATTTTGGTGTTAATACAGCACCATGGGGTTCTGGTTTGAATTCTGATTATGCTGGCTTTCTATCATGCTTGTTGTGTGCTGCAGTCACCCTAATTAGAAGAGTGTGTTTCTGTGGAGGAAGGTGTATTTCTGTGGGGAAACTGCTCAGTTTTTTGTGGGATGTTTGCTGGTCAGAATCTTGTTACACAAAAACCTACCTCTATAGTGGTTAAGATGGCTTTGTAAGCAATGATTTGCCATTGAGAACAGACCATGGTTAAAGGTGAAGGATGCCTAGTGCTTAGTAGTACTTGGGAGATACCAGAGCTAACAGCAAGGTAGGAGACTTTGAACTGGCCTAGCATATAGACACTTTTTTGCCATATTGTGGCCCATAAAGCCTGACTCTGTAGGAAGCAAGAGGCCTGATTATGTTGCTAGATCTAACATTTTAATAGGTGGGTTTTACTGCTTTCTAAAACTCTCTTTATTAGTGTGCCTTGGGTATTAGTGATTTTTTTTCTTGTTTTATTTTTTCTATGAGAATGTATGCTTTCAGCTGTTATAATTAGAAATGTTGTTTGGTTTTTCTTTTAACCTGAGGAGTCCTTCATGTTAGACAAATGTATATGAGTAGAAAACTATTTTAATTCCCGCCCCCCCCCCCGAATATTATTGAATTTCCATTTGTTTTTTAAATGGAGTAGGTTCACTCACAGTATTAATGTACCTTAGGGCCTTTTGCCTGTACTTGCAAAGCTAATTACGATTAAACAGTTCTTACAGGTTTTTGCTGGGGGGGTTTGGGTGGAAAGAGCTTATTTGACAAAAGAATGCATAAATGGGTTGGGGTTGGTTTAATTTGTTTTGTAGTTTTGTTTGGTTTTTTTTTTTTTGTGGGTTTTCTTTGGTTTGCATTTTTGGTTGGGTTTTTTTTTTGTGGTGTGGGTTTGTTTTTTTGGAGGGGGTGGTTTTCTGGTGGGTTTTTTGTTTTTGGTTTTTTTTTTTATAATTTTTTTATAAAATGCTGTGAAAACTGTCACTGATGCATCTGTTTCTCTGGAAGAGGAAATAAACACAGATGATTCCCATTATTCAGACCATATACAGAGTTGGCTTAACTTGGGTGCTGTTGCGGATGGAGGAGTGATGTACTTAGAAGTAGCAGAATGTTTACTGATATAAACCATTAACTTAAAGGTTTTTAGTAAATGCAACAAGGATTTAACAAGATTTGAGGTGATGTGCACTTGATTATTTGCTGCATAGAGGACAGGGTCAAGCAAAACTGTCAGACAGACCCTTCTGTTGAGTCGTGAGGTTCAGAAAGGACCCCCTTGTTTTCTGAACTCCTTCCAGAGTTTAGAAAGGTTAGATTCAGACTTAGTCTCAGACTTGTTCAGCAGTTTATACCTAAAGGATTATATATGTGCAATCAGTCTTTTATATCATGTAGCTGGGACTGCAGAGGTTAGCATACTATTAATCACTTACTGAGGATGTGTTGCAGCAAGGAATCTCTCAGCCTTGAGGAGTATTGTTGAGAGGTGGCCCTACACGGGGGATATCCTGGTTTGCAGGCTGCTGCTGTGCAGGAGAGTTCAATGGGCTCTGGGCAGTCCAGTATTTATGGAGTAACACAATTGAGTCATGGTTGTGTTTGCATATCTGCTACAGAAACTTGAGTTGGACCTTGACCAGGATATATTTGGGGGTGGGAGGGGTTCACATTGTTCAGATTAGGCCTTTGGCTATTGTATTGCTACCCATCTCCCAAGAATTAAGTCAGATGCCTTTATCATTACCCAGACTCATCCATTACCACCACCACTGGTGATTATCACTTGAGCAGAGTTGGGAAATAAAGGTCAGATTGGGGAAGGGGGGAGAAGCACAGCACCACGCTCCACTCTGTGACTATAGTCAATTTATCTTGCCCTCACGGAATGGTGATACAGTTGCCTCTTGCCTCTGCCATAAATAGTGTATTGATAATTTGGGCACTTACAGATTCATGGTAAGTATACAGTGAAGCACTACTATTTGTTATGTGTTAATTTGTATGTTTGGGGTGCTTAAAGTTGGATTATTTGTTTAATCTTATGCCAAACCTTTATATGCAATATAAATAATAGACACATTAGAGTTAATAAAATAACAACTGGGTGAAGTATGAAATTAAAAATTTCTGATGCTGTCAGTGGCCATCCATGGGGAGTTTCTCACCACTGCTGTTCTCTATCCTTCACTCTTTCCGAAATACAGATACCTATTCTGTATCACAATGAATGGTGATTAGAGTTTTGTGTCCCTTGTTTCAGATGCACTCAGGCAGCTGACACAAGTCATTGTGTTGTAATAGTTTCTTCACCAATATAAGATTCATTCCCATGGAGGTAGGCAATAAATAATGACTCATTGTATAATTAGATTGTAACAATTGATAAGGCATAACAGGAACTAAATAATTAAAAGTAGCATCCATAATTTTAATAAAGTTCTGACCCCCCCCACCGTTGCCACAGGCAGCAACACTTTCCACCAGACCAGGTTGCTCAAACCCCCATCTAATGTGGCCTTGAAGGCTTCTAGGAATGGGGCAATCACAGCTGCTCTGGGCAATGTGTTCCAGTGTCTCTCCACCATCAATTTCTTTCTAAGAGGGAGGAAGGGAGACAGAAGTTGAAATGCTCTCCTTTTCCCTGTTACCTTGTTCCTCAGAATGCTTCAGTTAGACTCAAGATAGTGCTAGTAGACTGAATCACAACTCCAGGAATGTCTAAGGCTAACACACTCCTGCATATTTCATTCCTTCACACGAGATTCTGTTCATGGGTTTTTAAACTTGTTTAGTTTTAATGTAGTTTACGTCCCCTGTTTCATGGATCTTACTTTGTGATCGTCTCCCTGGGGCCTCAGGTTTTGTTTTTCAGCTGGTGTATCATCCCAGCCTGTTTCATGACTGCAGTTATCGATGCTATGCATTAATTCTCTTCATGTAGAGAGTGCCTTAGGAATGCTATTGACCTGGTCTTTATTATATTCAGTGTCTCTTAATTTCACCTCATTTTGCAGTTGGAGTTTAAGAATTGCTGGAACTCCTCTAATCGATAGTTTTAACATTGCAAAATCTACTGTAGCAGTTAGTGGGACGTTATGGGGTCCTTGCCTTGTGCATGGCTCATATGCAAATGGCTTTTGTGACAGAGAGCTTGCTTAGAGAGTTAATGGGGATTAGAGAGAGTTCACCTCGCTCCATAACATCTATTCCTCCATCCCAAGAAGCTACTGGGCTGGTGATAGGATGGGGTGTATTTTTTTGGGTTGGATCCTAACTTCAAGAAAACTGGACCCCAAATAGTGTTTGTTTCATCCTCGCTCAACAATGTGTGGTTGCTGACACTTAGCCATACTTGCCACAAGACTTCAGTTCGTTTTAGCTGAATTTCTGCTATATTTCTCTTGTAAATTTGGCAGTTGCAAGGGATCCTGGGGTTGGTTCATGTAGTATATTGCAGATGACCACTCCAAGATCCCATAGTTCTTTTTAATTTAACAATTGGCATGGCTTCATATTCAGGAGGGCTTGTGGGGGGGTACACCAAAGGGTAGTCCTCCTCTGGTTCACTTATCATTGAGATCACCCTAGATATCACCATCTCCATCTTCAGGGGATACTATTAATTTCCTAATATGTACCATATTGGTGGGGGTGTGGGGCCCGTAGGAGCATTTTCAACTCTTTCTCCCAAATTCTGTTTTTTATTATTCTTGTTACTGTTCTTGCAGCTGCTCCATTTTTTAAGATGGCATTAATTCAGCCACCAACTCTACAGTTTCCTTCTCTAGGTCTTCTACTGTCTATTTGCCCTTTCTTGGCATAGTTTCTAAACAAGTACCCAGCATCCTGCGGGCAACACCTTTTCATTCTCCATTTTCTGTGTGGCTCCTAATGACCTCTTCCTGCTTTTCAGTAACTTCTTAATTATGCCAGTTGTCATGAGCCCATTCCTCTGAGAATTTGGATTCACTCAGTTTCACTCCATGCCTCAACAAATAATGGGTGACACTACCTGCCATCCTTTTGGCTATGCCGGGAGCAGAATAAAGCTTGTTTTGAATACTAGCTGTTGATGTGTGTTGAGGGGTTTTTTTGCAAGTTTTGCAAGTTCTTGCTGTGGTTTATGTCCAGGTTTTTGCTACCAGTTTCTCATCTGTTTCTGATCAGTGAAGCTGAAAGAGACATTGTTTTGTTGAACCATATGCAAAGATTCTTCTACGTTTCTCTTCTTGAAGTTTCCTACCCTAAAGAATGTAAATATTGAAATAGCTGAAGATGCCTCTGGGATTTGCAGTGCTTAGTGTTGGCATTGTGCTCTCTTAAAATCTTGAACCCTGGCTATTTTAATGTGATTTTTGCCCTATCCTCACACAGGGAGTTGACACTTTTCTTACACATGAGGACAGTTGTGCTGACGTACAGACTACAGCTCAGTGAACTGTGTAGCCTGGAGGGATCAGTCAAGACAAGTTTCATTTTTCTTGCCAACATTTGCCTGCTCAGTGAGTAAGTTGGCTTGCACTCAGATTGAGACACAACATTGAGGTAAGGTAGAAAGTTGGAAAAGTGTGGCTGTGTATTACGCAGTATAGTATTACATATTTTACAGGTATATTATTAATGTGACTACAGATATAATCAGACTAGGGGTGGATACACTTTTGAGAATTGTTAAGATAATTTAGTCCAGAAAAATCACCTCTCTGATGTTACAGAGAGGACTTTTTTTGGGGGAGAAGGGAAGAACTTTTGTTTGGCCACTTGCAGAAGGGTGCTTTCTGTGGTGTTACTGAAGAAACCAACTACCTTTGTCCCAAGCTTTGCAGAGAATAAGGATCAGTTCGTTGGTTCTGATCCTAGCACTGGTGCTTAAATAAATACATGAAGTCTGTCTTTCTTGTTTTCCTTGTTCCCACACATGCAGGCTCATAAGCTGTGT